TGTAGACAATAGAATTAATAGGTTAATAAAAACCATTGTACTATATTGCATGACGTAACATTGTGTAGACAATAGAAAACAACATAAATCAGTTCAATTTAGCACTATTAAATTGCTAAAGTTCTCCATGGCGTTTGTAATCTAGTACTCTAGTGCATGCTAGAGTTGGTTCCAAAAATCTAACCTCCTCCGCAGGCATTTGCCTTCCGCTCTTCTTTCTACTATCGTACTCTTCGCATCTCTTGTGGGTTGTCAATCATTCAGTGTCACAGGGTAGGGATATTTGATAATCCATGTTGGGCTTCCTGTGTATAGAGAAAGCTGAGGAACCCTTGGTAAAAGTGCCCCTACATGCCACACCGCAGATATGGCATAGCACATGGTTTGCAGATGGCGGAGGACACGGGAAGTTTTACTTGTTATGAAAGGTTATCATTGCCGAGTCAAAACAAAGGGATTAAAGAGCATTGTACATAACAATTAGCATTATATTGAGGATATTATATGGGCACGCGGAGATACAGATTTTATCTTCGAGTGTTGAAAAGAGAGATTTTYAACAGAAGAAAAATATCTCCAAGCGACCGTGTAATATTCTGGTTTATCATATAATTACGTAAATAGAGGTTATTACATGGGCGAGCGGAGATACGAATTTTATTTTATTTACCTGGCTAAGAGTTCCCTGGGGAGAAAGCCAAAGATACGCTCTCTTGGTCATATCAGTTGCACATGTAAATCTTGATATGATTCGAAATAACTAATATCTACAGTTTCTTGCAATTATCTCTAAGACCGGTCGTGACATGGTATTTTTTTGTTTATTCRTGATTCCATTTTTTGGCCATACTTTCGGTACGTCCCGGATCCCAAACTTCTTTTCATATTAGATCTCTGAACCCAAAACATTGAGTGATCCCGATCCCGATCCCAGGAGCTGTGACCCCGATCCCAAAGCTAAAATCYTGACTCTTGGTCCCAAAATAACGCTGATAACTGATCACATAATTGCCATGACACGACTCCGGGGACACGACCCTGCACAGACCGAAGAAATTGTGTGGAAAAGTGGCAGCTTATCAATGTTTGTCCCATTCAAAAGTTTCAAGAGAGCAAACTGTTCGACAATTATTATGAAACATGTCTTRAAGACCCTTACAGTCGAAAGCGTTGTGATATATACGTACTCATCGCCGATTGTAGCATCTACATCTACATTTATCAAGTCGGTGATGTCTGACGATATCACACCAACTCTAAAATAAAATTTAGAACTATATACATATTTTTAGCTGGCATAATTCGCTCCGTGGTGTATTTAGGTGTACAGCAGTATTTTTTTATCTAAGGTTGTTGATATATAAGTTAAAGAGTGTGACCCGATTCAAGGAAGTATGTCCTTAGATTAGTATTTTTAAAAACWATTTATAAGTTCAGGTCCATTTCACAGGGAAGGTGCATGGTTCAAGGCAAAAACAACCACAGATATTGTMAAAGATGAGGCACAGAGAATGTTAATCAYAGCATGGTTGCATGATACTGTCTGTCACTTAAGCTTGACCTCCTTCTGTCTTGTCCTTGGTCTCTGTTGCAAACAAAAAGCCTTTGTTCGTTTTCTGTTGTTGAGTGGGGACMACCGTTTGGAGGCATTTGGGACTTCACTGTTAGGATAAAGAATGAATTGAAATATTAGACGTTTCTCTTCATTCCGTCAAATACACATTAGCAAAGTACAGTAAAAACCCGCGTATAAGAACAASTAGATTAAGAACACCCAGGCCGGATTTTAGGAAATAAAGTTTTTCTTATATGGAAAAATATCAAAGATCAACTCTACTTTTCATTGCACACATAATAGTTCCWCCCTAATTATATGTAAAAAATATTAAACAAAACAAAAATATGTCTTGTCTATCTATTGCCTTGATTTATCATTTTATTGATTAAAATAGTTACATCATTGTATTACTTAAATAAAATTGTGTGCATATATGTTGATTTCATCTATTGGTAGCCTAGTATGTTCCTTATTTCAGGAAACTCTTTTTAAGAACACTTACAGGCTTATTTTGCAGATTATAACCATTTATATAAGAACCAAATCAGCCTGAACCGCCAAATAGGTGTTCTTATACGCGGGTTTTTGCTGTATCATCAAACTTAACCTCCTGATTGGCTCTTTTTCTGAAATATTGAAGAGCCATATTTTACCAACAATTTTTGTTTCGGATGGAAAATATGTTCCAAAAAAAAAAAGAAGTTCTCAAACTTCGAAATTCTGAACAAAATGCTAAAAATGCGTTTAAAAGATAAATAAAAATAAAATAATCCTTATCACCACCCATGGTAAACCTTGTGGTGCAATGCATTATGGTAAACCTTGTGGTGCAATGCATTATGGTAAACCTTGTGGTGCAATGCATTKTGGTAAACCTTGTGGTGCAATGCATTATGGTAAAWCTTGTGGTGCAATGCATTTTTTGGATTGATAAATTAGTAAACAAATGAACAAGTTGGCAATACTCTAATTGTTTGTGCCGCGGCCTCAGTTCTTGGGCAAATATCGAGAGATGCGGATGTTCTACCTCAGAAGATCACTATGGAAACACCCCCCCCCCCCCCAGAGCGAGTAAAAGAAGAAAGGCTTACTAAATAGGATGTCCAGTCAACCGAGAATTCACATTACTTGACAAATTGAGCGAAAAGGAAAAGAAAAATATTTTGTTTGAAACAATATCAAAACTAACTTTAGGTTTTTTTACTATTTTAGAGACTTTGCTTTAACGACGACAGAGAGATTGATATCCCATGATACATTGCAAACCGTGATTAAAAATGGGGAGCTTGTGCTATGGACTATGAACGCCGATCTTTTCTTTTATCCACAATTTAAGGTAAAACATAAAGAACTACCTCGTTTTCAATTAACGTGCCTATAATGATCACTCAATAAAAACTACAAGTCGAAAACATGTGGAATTTATTTTAGATTCAATTGTTTAGTTAAGGACAACTATAAAAAAAAACTAAACAATAAAATAGAATAAGTATGTCGTCTATACTTCTGATAAATTTTGCATAGAATACTAAATGAGATYCACAAGCTTTTCAATTATGAATTAATTTACACTATGGATTCAAGTATTGGTTTTCCATAGCACTATAACCCTAACCATACTAAATTAARATATAAATATAAATATGGATGCCCGCGGACTACTTTCTTACATCTCTTATCTATTTGAAGGACATTGAACTTTGATGTCTAATATGTCGTCTTTCAYYCATAATCAATCTATAAGCCTTGCATATGTCGGTATAATACTGTGATCAGATTAGGGATTACCAAAGATACCGTTAGATCTGGTTGATTTGAATATWTYAATGCGTCGAGCTACGGTATGCGGTGAAATAGCTGATAAAGCCGTTAAACCAATATGTAAAATGAGTTATTTTAATAAATATGAGAAAAGAGATTCGAACCCATAACCTGCATGATGCCCGGTGAAAACCTCAGTGTGGGAAACCCGTCAAATACAGAAAACGTCTGTTTTTCATCATCTTTACTGTCAGTTGAAATGCATATTGCGACTATATTTCATCAGCCCTTTCAAACACACAATATATTTCAATACTTAATGTGAGCTAAAGGGTGGGGATCACTTACCTCCTGATAGATATGGCGAAAGGAGCTTTTTAAAGGCCCGTCTAAAGTCTTTGTTCATAACACCGTAGATAATTGGATTTAAAGAACTGTTTCCATAGTGTGCCCATTTAGCAATGGCCACAATCACGGGTGATGGTGCGCGWCGAACGATGTAATAACTTAAATTTAAACCAAAAAACGGTGACCAGCAGACCAGAAACGCTCCAATTACAACCGCTAATGTTTTGGTCGCTTTTAGTTCTTTTCTAAAGAATCTGCCTTGTTTTCCAGATAAAGACATCACGATTTGTTGTGCGTGATACCTCGCTCTTTGAAAAATCCGAAAATACGTAACAAATATTACTACAACTGGGAGAATGAAGTTTAGAATGCTGACAACGAGATTATAGCCTCTCCATCCCCACAGTATTGGACCTAGAGACGCCACTAAGATAGAATATAGCCATATGCCCACTAATATGACAGTCGCACGAAACGGAGTCATAATGGAATGGTACTTGAGGGTAGCACATATACAAAGATATCGGTCAATGCTTACAAATGTTAAATGCCAAATCGAYGCAACGCTAACCATGATATCACCACTAGTCCATAGCATTTGTACCACTTCGCCTAACACCCAKTCTGGTCCTGTGATTAGATAGGCAACCCAGATCGGCATCGCAAACACAGCTACTAACAAATCTGTAACGGCCAAAGAAACAATGAAGTAGTTTGTTACTTGTCGCATACGACGAAACGTTTTGAAAGCCATGATTACTAAAACGTTGCCAAATATGGTTAAGAGAATTAAGATCACTACGAACAACGAGCTCACAACAACTGTCGATACGGCAAATTTTGGTGATTCTTTTTCGAACGCGGTGCCATTTTCTTCCGACAAATTTGCTGCAGCCATATTGAAGGTTCCTTTGATGCTCTTCACCAGTTCCCTGCGACTAATCAAATTAAAAAAGACGTTATCTTGGCTACTCGAATCTTTGACCAAAAAAAAAATATGAAAACAAASTCTAATTTAGCACATCTTGATGCTTTATAGCGGAATGACGTTTCTTGAGAGCAAAGCTCAATGAGCCGGGACACCTTATTTCAATAATGAAATATCTGATCCATTATAGTGAAGAGTTCGTATATGTAAAGAAAGATTTGATAGCATCATGCTCTCTTATTACGATTGGAGGGAAAAATTAACGATTGTATACCTATCGAGAGGATTATTCCAGTATGGAAATACTTGTAAAAAAAGACAGTTACCATGAGAGACCAACGCACGGACGATTTTCCAATCAGCAGCTGTTGTCACGACTAGCCAATCAACGCATTGGCCAGTCAGATCAGTGTAAAAGCCAACGCAAAATCAAGTAAATTTTGTTTTCATGATTTGATTAAAGATTGCAATAGAGYACGAACATGAACAAGTGTATTCTCAAAATTAACCTATAAAATGACTAGCTCGTTAATGCGAAAACAGATATGGTTGCATGTGACATATGTCATCGTCGTCAGCATTTACGTTCATTTAACGATACATCGACATGTTTACAAACGATTAACTGCAGAATAGAATAGTTCAGTTATTTCTCTCTTCAAATGATGTTACAATTTTTGCATTGTATTAGGYATATGTATATCAGGTGAAAAGTGTCATATAAATTTAAGTTTTTCTAATTTGGTGAGGACTAAATTAACTAGCACAGTTTACATCGGATAAATGTTAATTTAACTAACACGTTCGYCCATAAGCCATGATTGTTTCATGAAAATGGTCTGTTCAATTTGTCAAAAGATATTTGGTTAGTTTTGTTGGTTAATAGGTTGCTTGATATATTTTTAGTTTTATCGATAGTAAGCACCGCTCGATTCGACCAATGGGTTTGTTCCTGATTTTTTTTGGCACAAGGTATTCTAATACCATGGTCACTGCTCTAAGCAGGATAAACGCTTACATACATCGTATAGAAAATGCTAAAAGATAATCCAAAGATATTCTTACCAGTCTTCTCAAGTCCGTCCAAGTGGGCCTTACAAATTTCCTTGTGTGATACCCTCAAGAATGTCGTTCGATAAATGTTGGTTCCTTTTTGATGTAAAAGCTGTCTTTAAAGGCCTTTGTGCAGTTTGTAAAATAGAATAACTCATGATATTGACGCAATGCCCAATATTTGTCTAATGCCTTTCAAGATTAATGATTTAAAAGAAAGTCTTTGTGAATATCCTCTAAAAGGTCGTAATCTAAGTGGTACTTCTAAGAGTCACTTTCTCAGTCGTAGCGCATTCGATTCTGTTATGTGTTAAACGGACAGTACACCGGCATTTAGTAGTAACTGAAGTGCACAGATAAATCACTATCAGATCTTAGTTAAAAGCACTCCTTGTTATTCTAAGGTTAGCACTGTACTGTCAGTATATATAGTTGTGAAGCAAAACTCATTACGGAGACTAATTTGATGAGCGAATTGAACAATAAACTAAAGTATATGCTTCTTCTTCGCTTAGTTCGCTCGACAGTCAGAGATAAATATATTTTCGAAGCCGCATAACACACACCATTAGGTTRGACGATCAGTTATAACGCTATTTATAATTTAMAAAAATTGTTTGAGTAAAAGATGATTTTTTGAGCCGCTATTCAAACATCATGAAAAATGGACACAAACCTAACTACGATAAAAACAACACTTGAAAAACCGAATATGAAATAATAAGTTCCTCTTAATACTCTCAAGTATCAAATTGTGAAATTTCTGGTATAAGGAATATAGATGTTTAAAAATTAATTGTGTCTCATAAATAATTCAGAAAGATCTGAAGAACTCCATGGTTATATTTGCACGCAAAGGCAGTTTACATTTCATTATTTCTGCTTTTACCTTACTTTCAAAATTTTCCACAAAAGATATAGCCAGCTGTGCAAATGACAAATCATTAATATTGATGACTTTTTCTTATTAAAAATCAGAATACACAAAACAATTGAATATATAGCAAAATATTCTTTGATGTAAATGGCGAGCTTTTTTCCCAATATATTTCGAACTACATTTGTACTGATAAACTACGAATTTACTCTACAAATAACTCAATTAAAAGTTGCTGAGAAAGTACATTTGTCCATAAATATATGTCATTTTCATTTTTACTTCTTGCAAGGAAAACAACGCGAAATCATAATATTGATTTTAATGCACAGGTAGCTGTTTTGAGCTGCACGTTGAATATTGGAAACATAATGATTTAAAAGCGAAGTACTAGAAGTTAGTGAAGATAAAATGCGATGTTAAACTGAGATCTTTGCTAGTTTCCAACACTGATGACATRTTGTCAATCTATGGATAAAACATCTTTGTTATATATCGGACATTTGCTGGTAATGACCTGACAAATAGACAACTCTATGATTGGACGAATAGTTTGTACATTATCAAAGAGTTATACTGATAAGCAAACATATACAACAGTAATATGTAAAGAAAGACCGATGGCCGGATTGATCCGGTAATTGAATTTTTGAGTTGAGCAGAGGTGTTGGCTTGACACCAGCCAGCAATGATATCAGAGCCTAGAGTTGTTTTCGCTTTTTGTCCTTTGAACTAGTATAATACAGAATTGCACTGGATTAAACAATGTGTTGACATCGTGTCGATATAGAGATCGATGGGTCACCTTTATAACTTGCGTCCTTTTCATTTTAGTATTCTTATACGACGAATTGTCGTTTCTATCTCATAACAATTACTCGTGTTATTTTCGTGTCATTGTCTTATCGTCATATTGTTGTCGTGTTTTAATCGTRTCGTTCATTTATGGCGTCGTTGTCGTTAGATATGTTTTGTGTTCTATCATTACTCTTGCTTTCATCTTCTAGTCATATTATTATTATTATTATTATTATTATTAGTCATCTTTCGCGTACCGTCACTATGTGTCGTTTTTCGCTATTTAATTGCTATTTATAAGGAGGGTAATTGTCTACGTTTGTACAGAAAAACACTTTCAAAAACGTTAGCTATACCTATTAGTAGCATTATAAGCACTTGTAATACTCTCTGAGCAGACAATAACAATAAAACAATTACCTTTTTGCTTTCTTCTGTGTTTTAATATTAACTTTTTGAGTGTTTTGAATAAATACAAGTATTTCTAGACTGACAACGCCCTGAGAGGAAAGTTTTATAATGTGCGGATACACCGCGAGCAAGATAACTTATCTTGTTTAGATCTTTGTTCTTTGCCGTGTCTTTTAGTATCTAATTGAATCGATCAATAATAGTGAAACCTCAGTTTACCTCAGTCATATTAATAATAAATGTGCAAGAACCATTAATTCGTTGTTTGCATCATGTGGACTTCTAATAAGAGAGCTATGTTCATTAGGGTAAAAGAGAATTTTTGGAATTTCATATTAAGTAAGTCTTTTCTAAGATGAGCGCGGCTTTCGTCTTCGATCAAGCTTGCTCATCAAGTGTTTGGAGACGCAATCATCTTTATCTGTTCTATTTTCTACTAGCATAGAAAACAGCACTCTGAGCAACTTTAAGGTGTTTGAACAATGCGTTGACAACTTGGTTTGGGTTTGTTCTTGTAACATTCTAATGTGCGTTTGGGTATTTATAGAATAAAGTTTTATAATGTGTAACTAATGACTGCGACAAACTACAAATCCAAGTCTTCCTAATGTGCTTAAGCATTGACAACAGAAGGTTGTCGCTTCTATTGACCACAAATGAGAAGCGACAGAAAACAAAAGTTGGGCTCTRGAAAAATGTTAACTTCCTGTCGCTAATATATGCGATAAATTAAAGCTCCTTTCTAMCTAAATTGTAAGCTATGAGAGCGATTTTCCGGCGTGCTTGAGAATGAAAAAAAAAAAAACCGCTACGAAGAGCAAAGGCTACAGCATTTTAAAGAGAGTTAGTAGAGGAGACCCAGTCTCCTCTACTAACTATGTTTTAAAGTACATAGAAGAAGCAGCCAAGTGTGCAGTACTATTCTGTTCAGCGGCACTGCAATGTGCATGCGTAGTAGCAGCAGAAACAGCACCGAGTGCTACTCCTRCTCGTCCGAACCCCGTCCGAAGCCCCCCAGCCTATGGGCCTGGTCATCTTGCCTTTTCGAACGATGACTGTTGTCTTATTTGATAGGGGGGTTTACTTGGGCGAAGCAAAACAATCAAACAAAAAACAAACAAAGAAATAACGTTGTAATTAAAACAATACCTATGTAAATTTCGAATTTTTACGAACTGAGAATTATAACTTCTATAAAAGTTTACCATTGATATGTTTGCTTTACGTAACATTACTTTTAATACAATTAAACACCTTATTAATGAAGTAGAAACTATAAGGCTACTCGGGYTTCGGAGGAATGCATCCTTTTATAATAACAAACGTACATTTGAATATAGATGTCGGAAGCTACTTATTTGCATTACACTCTACCAATGACTCTTTTAAATGTGTCTCGACCTACACGAAGTTTTAATCGTTCGCAGTTAAAAAGGACTTAACTTGATGAATATTCCTCACGCTTTGATGTGGGATTATGGTCCGCGCATCCTCAGATTGCTAAACATATGCCACAACTTGGTTTTTGGGACATTTCTTAGTCGTTCATGTTTTTATGCCTGCGGCTTGAATACAGTATTTGGTGATACTCCAAGAAATGACCCTTTGCAGGAAAAGGGTTTTTAGTGTTTTTAGACCAATACTATAATTAGGTTTTGTCCAATATTGGTGAATACTTAAACAACTATACCGTAGGTCGTGGTGACGCGTAATGGATTGAAATATTTCCGTTGAATAATATCAAATACTTACTATGTTCACTGATCACAGTTTTGGCAAAACGGTCATAACGGCACATCAAGGGCGCACTTGAAAAAATAGAATTGAGCCAAATTTTCAACAATTGTATATCATTATCAAATTGCTTAATGTGCCAGCTACCTATGTTGATTGATCTATGCTAATGCCGCTAAAGTACAAAGTTGCTTATTTGATCATAAACATCACGTTTTGCAAACTGATTGTAGCTCAAGTGAAATCACTTTGAAAAAACACCTAAATAATTGAATATTAGATTAAAAAACATCCATGGTGACTCCTTTGTTGAAAACTCTGCCTGATTATCAAATATAAAAAAAAATTAAATTTGAACGGAAGCGTTTTTCGCCCCCAACCCCGTCGCTGTACTCCTTTTTCACTTTAATAGCTAAAAAAAACAGGCTACTTGTTAATCGATCTCGAACTTATTTTTGTTTTGTGATTGAGATGTGCCATGTAAAATGATTTTTATTCTGTTCGTGAAAACTGACCTGCAATTTCGTTAAAGATCAAAAGCATAGTTGATTTTATGATTCATTAGTGGTTATACTGCTTAAAAAGATTTACACTAATCTCACCTAATAAATCTCCTACTTATAACTAACTAATGCTCAAGTAGAGTGAACCAAAAAAACAAAGAAATACTATGTTCAATACTTACATTARATATCGGAGTGTTGAGCTCCCTTACATCTTTCAACCCTTTCTCAAAAGACTGATCAAATCTTCTAGAATCTCATCCGTTTCGTCTTGAAACAAAGGGAATGCAAACATGAAAATAAAAACATGAATTACTTAGTCATACATATGTGACATGCCTCATGATTAATGAGTCGTCACAATAACGAAAACAAATGTTTACGTAGGTAGAGTTCCATTGAAAGAAGCCTAGCAATAAGCGGCTTTCAATAAGAATCACCTGGATACGTGGAATATACTGCAATMATATCACAATAGACAAAACAACGTACCGATATTAATCATCGAAAAAAATTCTTATTCTCTATATATGATATGTACTTTTGAGTACTCTCTCGTTAACTTACTATTTCTAACATCGATTTTATGGCAATTTTTGCTTCTCGGTCAAGATAGYAAATTGACGAAAGCTGGATTGAAAATCGTATTTGAAATCAAATGTGAATCAGGCCTCGTTCATTGGGATCTCATTCAATTGTATGCTTTCAAACATCCAAAATGGCTTTAGAAATAGTCTCATTGCATTTGGAGAATGAAATGCATATACCATGGCACTAGGGTTAGTGTAATATAGTACGCTTTGGGAACACACCACTGAGTAGATCTTCAGTTAAGTTCTGTTTGGTTTGTATCCAARTTTTCGAGAAAAAATTTAAATACACACAATGACAAAGTAGTAATGAGGATAACTGAAAACTGATGGATGGTAAAAAATGCCACTGACAAAAAACAAGCCCGGGGCAAACTGATATCCAAAACAGCAACCGACCTTTCCAAGATGCACACAATCTTGAAAACTCGTATGAAATCCACCCAAATTATTTAGTTTTATGTTCCCTGTTTCAGAAAAAAATAGTACTAACGTCATCACATTTCTACCTTTGGTCGTGCATTYTTTTTTAGTACGACAACACTTTTTGAAATACTTACCCGTTATTATATATTTTTCATGCTTATTTTAGTCTTGTTTAGATTTCATTACCCTACACCGAAGAACAATTGACCCTAACGCTCAGTTATCTTCGATATGACAATAAAAGGAATGAAGAAAGCTTTCTAATGTCCCGTCCTAGAAGCCGTCACTGATTAATACACCATCATTCTATTCAGAGAAAACTGCATAAACAGGAATTATCAACTATAATCTTTCTAATTATGTCAGAACGAACTATAAGGTAGTGGTATACTAAACAGACAGGAACAAGAAGATTTCCTATAAGTGGAAAAATCAAGTAATCCTTGATGCTTTACAATTTTCTCATTTTTGACGATACCTTAAGCCTTTCAAAATCAAAATTCCTACTATATTTTACTTTCTGTAAATAAATTAGTCAATCGTCAAATTTTTTTGTGAGGGGAAGGGTGGTTCATTAGTTCGTTTAGCAATTAAACATACTTAGCTGCAGGCCCTCACAACGGTAATCATGGTTTAGCTTAGTCATAGCATGACTCTTGGCGCCTATATCTATTAGCTACAGCAAGGGTTTATATGTGACAGTTATAGTATTGAGGCCGGCTGCTTTGCTCACTATATGCCTGTGGAGCCATTCGGGTTTAATGTATTTTTTCTCTGAAATTACTTTTTTTTTGTTAATTTGGACTCCGCTGTTTGTAAATACGTGTCGGATGCTCCAGGGAGTGTTCATTTTAAATAATACATGAACAGGAAACCCTTAGTGTTTGTACTGAAACGGGATAGTGTTAGCAGTAAAAGGCAACTGAATGAAATATAGTGACGATTCAAGTAATCGTGGMAGTGATAAACCAATCTATGCGATTGTTAATAAATGAATGGTGGCACCAAGAAGACTCGTGCTCCAACTGGAATTGAGCTCATGAATACTAGACTCTGCTCTGTCGATGCAGCTATGTTGGCTAGCGGTCATTTTAATTGGAGTGGATGATTTAAACATCTCTTAATGAAACAACTAACCAAGAGAATGCAATAGTGGCATGAAGTTCAACTTAAAGACTGAGGGTTTATGGACTTTGATATAAACGAATTGAATTGCTGCCATGAAAAATTGTTCCGTTGTCAAAAGACAAGAATTTGTTTAGTCAAGAATCAAAATATTTTACAGCTGCGAAGTTGTCAGAAAACCAGTTAAGCCTGCTTGACTTCTAAAGTTGCCTCGTTTACCTGTCAGTGCTCCTTGCAGTCGGATGTTCGTTTTTTATCCCTTTTATAATTCAAATAGTGCCTTTGGTGACGAATATCATTAGGTCCTGTAGAAAGTATAGAATGATACTTGGTTCCTCTTGGAAGGCCTATTCATTATAAATATCTCTTTCTTACCCCCAAGGGGACATAGTACTACATTGCCTATCAGTGAAGATGAAAAATATAATACGTCAGTAACGATAAAAGTTGCTTCTAAATTTTAGAATTGATTGTTCCATATTTACCTAACTAAAATACTTGAAGATGAAAAATGCTATGCTATACAGCATCATCAACATAGTCAGAAAGGATTCCATGCCAGTCTATTGCCATTGTTATGGTGTAAAATTATTCATAAATACAATAAATATACTGTAAAACTATATAATCAATTATGTACTGCGAGGCAATAGCAATTTAATATTTAGTTTTTCGCTTTATAGCACGAAATATTAGAATAGACGAGCAATCACGTGCAGCAGTAAAAATGGCGCGAAATATCGCCTTGGGGTCGTAAAGGATACTGTGTTGCTCTGATAGTAGCTTTACTGATTTCTCAAGAGCCTGGGGATACGATATATCTTTATATGAAATACGTAGACAGCACTTTTGTATCCGTTCGAGTTCCTCACTAAAGTTAATTAGGTAGAGCTAGCTTTGTGAATAACATGGCCAGTTTCACGCGCAGGCGCTTTCGTGTGTCGATCTTGAAAACTGAAGTATTGAAACACGAAACATGTGAGCACATCTTCGATACATGAGAAGCATGAATAAGAAATACATACCAAAACAATAACAGTTGCGACTACTCTTGGCTAATTTGAAACAGAAAATATAAAATCATAGATTTTAAAGACAAGGGGAAACAGAGACATCTCGTCTTCTCGTAAAGAACCGATAAAAATACTGTGAAAACTGATCAAGTTTCCAGATCACCGGAAGGCGATTTACATCATGGGTGGATCATCGAAGTTTTCTTTATTTACAATATTTACGAGTAGTAATATAGTTGTTAAAACTGCAGATAGAKGCGTACTGTTTGATTTCCTATAAGGCCTTTTTCGAAAAGACGGTAAAGACGTTGTAAAAAGACCAGAAAGCGTTTTTCTCCTATATAATCAGTTATGTAGTTATTAATGATTGATATGGTTGGAGGGCACCGTCTCATCCAGGCCTTTTATAGAATAGATGAGGTGATTAATTTATTCTTTTTTAAGCAATTAATGCATTGATTGTATTTTTTTGGCGCTGGCGGCTTTAAGTATTCTACAGTGCTCTTAATACACTTAATATCATACTAACCTGAGACCGCTTGACGAGCAGCACTCGGTCAAGTTTCGAAAGCTGCCCCTTTTTCAAAAAGACTTCAAAAAGGTCCTCTATATTTCCTTTAAAAGCAACTTAGACAACTTGTCGTCTCATAACAAATGGAGAGAAAAAGGATATTGTGAAAATGGAAGGAAATTATCAAATCTGCAATCAGACTCAAGTTAACTATTGAATATCTCATAGCAAGAGTGGTATACCTGTGTCAGAAGGAGCGGAAAGAGGATATGGTATCTAGTTTAAATCCGTGATGGCGGCAAGCTGGTGATTTCTCCCGAAATGTCCACTTATCTGCCTAAGAGAGCTGTGTTATTCAAATTCGGCAGCATTTCAGATGGAAAGGTAATTGTTTAGGATATTTGAATAGCAAGTTTTTAATAAAGAGTCATTAAATTAATGGTTTGACCAGTACACTAGCAAACAGCCTCGAGCAGAATTTTTCCGAAATTTTCGAATTGCGGTCAAATGGTTTTTTGGGCTTACTCATATTTTCTCTTGGCTTTCAACGAAATCTTGCTAGAGTGCATTGCATATAACTCGAACTTACGCGTATTACAAAATGTTTGATAATTCCAGCTTGTTGCAGTTCCCCAATCACTTCAGCAATTGCACCAATTGGCAAAGGAGAAGTTTGATTTGAWGGAAGTCGAAGGGATTTATAGCACTAAAGGCGGTTTGATTGAAGATGTACAATTGATAAGGTAAATAACATTTCCTGTAGGCAGCCAGGGGATATATTTTGACCACTTGAATTGAKGAAGGGAAAACATTGTCTCTTTAAGCTCCCCATGCATATCTTAAATATCGTTCTCTCGTCTCTGTAAATGTTACATTATTAAACGTTAATATATTTTGATTCTAATATAGAGATGATGAAGTTTTGTATGTAGCATCATGTAAACTCGAGGGTGAGTTTTGTTGCTAGATTTTTTGGTATTGCAATATCATGTTTTTTAATGTTTTCTTTTCTTTCACCTTTGCCTGGCACAAAGGTGGATAAATCTACCCATTAAATTTTTTCATAAGCTGTGTGAATTAACACTTATTTACTGGAACCGAGGGAAACAGTATGTTTTGTGGTCCTGAGACCGCTGATGTTTCCCGAAGCGAAGCTGAGGGAAACATCAGCGGTCGAGGGACCGCAAAACATACTGTTTCCCGAGGTTTCCAGTAAATAAGTGCTTTATTATCATATCAAGTGTCAAAGAGAGCAAAAAACGTAAATAAATGAAGTGTTTTTATTAAAGATTTTGATAAAATGACTGAAAAATGGCAATACAAATAGTCAAATGTCACTAAAATCAATCAATGTAATAACACAATGAATACAATAACTATTTGTAGATGAAATTTAATGTTTCAAAACAATTTTGGAATTCACCGTCCGTAAATGTGGCATTTTCACGACACTGAAGAGTATTTTTCTGCGATTTTGTACTTATTGACGGTCCACAACATATTATTGACCGCTGGTGGACAGTTGCCGGGAAACAGTAAAATTTTGTGACTTTCACGTGGTACACTCTCGACCAATAAGATACTAGGAAAAGTGAACTTTGACACTTGATATATAATAATGTAGTTTAAATTATCCCACAGCTAAAGTAGATAGATGATAGATATCTCCTGGATAAAAATGTATTCACCATTCCCACAACTGGTGGATAGTGATATAACAGATTGATGTCTATACATACAATGGAGACGCATTAATGGACAGAATTCACCACCATTCCATTCTTTCACCCATCTATTTACTGATCAACACTCTACCATACATCAACTTAACATTAAACCAAATAGTCTTCTTCAAAGTGTGCCTGATTATATAGCAYTGTAATACACTTAACTACTTTTGTAGCTCCATTCATCCATCTATGTTAACACTTATAATATTAATAAATGCGGCTAAATACGCTCGAGATATAAAAACCATCAACTTGGCGTGCAACATTGTTTCTGTTAAAGTCTAGTATCAAAGTTTCTCGTTTTTCGTCAACTTGTTATGCAACAAAAATACATCATGAAAAAAGAGAAACACCGATGCTCAACTTGAACAGAAACAATGTTTCGCGCCAAGTTGAGGGTTTTTGTTTCTCATATTTAGCCGCCTTGCACTACTAATTACTTAGTACAATATAATAGTAKTCAATAAGCTTTATTCCTCTATCCTCAGTAATTATGAATTGTGTTACTGACACTTAGCTCTATTAAAGTACATCCTTTAGCTGTCTGAACAGACTTTGACATCCATTTTATTTTGTTTTGTTCTGTTGTGATTATTCTAGGTCAGTTTAATACTTGTAATTGTGCCTCATATACAAAATCACTAGGACATGGGCTGGGTAGAAGTCTAAACAAGTGTGAGTATTTTCTAATCAATCAATGCACCACCAATATTACCTCTGTCCTCATGAATTAACTCTTACAAATTTTATGTCAACATTCCAGTAAGAATGAATATTGTCACATGAACAGCTTTTTAGGCTGTAGCAGACACAAAATAAAACTGATGATCTGCAGTAAGCAAACAAATAAATAAAATAAAAAATAAAAAACAAAAACACAACAAAAACAACAACAAAATAATGATGATGACTACAAGACTTCATTGATATTTACAGTCTGTTTTGCAAAAAAATTATTGCTTGAATGATAACTGTTTTATTTTTAGCATACAGTGACTGGGTTACATTAAATGTGGGTGGACAACTCTTYACGACCACAAGGTATTGTCAGTGTATATTCTTATTGTTCATTTATTTGTTCAATAATCCAGTCATTTCTCTGCTCATTGTTGCTTGCATTAAATTGTACATTTTACTTGTTCTTGTTTACTTTAGTAATTGGTCATTGATTTGTGATTTGTTGACCATTATATCTTGAATCAGAGCTACATTGTTAAGAGAGTCAAACAGTATGCTTGCAAGGATGTTTTCTGTTTCAGGTGAATTTTTAAGAATTCTTGTTTACTTTATCAAATGTAGTTTGATGAATATTGTAAACACATGCCAGTCCTATTTGTATTTTAATACCTGGAATGTCACTGTGCAAAGTTGGTTAAGGCAAAGCCAACAAAGCCACCCAGCTTTCCATGTGTGCCATGACTGGTGGAAATTTATTGTCAATTCTTTTGTTCTTAGACTCGTGGCAAAGTATACAGGATGCCACTGGTGCCGTATTAATTGACAGAAGCCCAGTTTACTTTGAACCAGTGCTAAACTTCCTTAGACATGGGAGGGTTATTCTTGATGAAGGTGTCAATCCTCAAGGTGAGCTATTAGTAACAATAGAGTAGTCAGGGGCAGTGCTTTGGGCAATTTTATAAATGATTAAACTTTTGTAATTTGATATTTTGTATCCAATATTATGTGTAATGGTTTCAGAGATGCAGAAATCAATTAAGTTATTATTATTATCAACCTAGTTGAATTGAGGGCATTATGCTGAGAGATTTAAACTATACTTTATTGTTCTTTTTAGAACGATTTCACAGGACAAAAATGCTAATGAGGATCAATTTATGCTAATACACATTACACAATGAGAATAGCTTGTATCAAATTGTTGTCCATGTGTGCGAAAAAGCCATGGATACCATGAACGCTGTCACTGCAATGTTGGCTAAAACTGTGTAAGAAAAAAATGAACAAATACGCAATAAAACCTTGTATTTTTAAGAGCAAAATTACTCTGACTTGACTACATGTATTAAACAAACACGATCGCGAATTTAATGTTTGTTATGATTTAAATGTTATTTAAAACAAATCTGTACGTCGTAAAGTGTTCATCAAAATCCTTGTTGTTCCACATGTAAAATCGTGTAATTATGTGTATTAGCATAAATTGATCCTCATTAGCATTTTTTATCCGGTTATGTGAAATCGTTCTATTATTTAACAACAAAATATTCTGAAGTACAGGACTCCATGCAYTGATTTGCATCCCTCCTCCATTGAGAGCAGAGGAATATTTCTWATTGAATTATAAATAGGGATAGTGTGACAGGGCAACTGTAGCCATTATCTTTATTTAAATGAGTGTGACAAGTTTTATTGTCCTTGCATTCAAACAACAAGCATGCATTATTAAAATCAAGTGGAAATGTGGACCACAATTTGAAAACAACAGGATCTGCTTCTATCTATGCATTCCTGTTTGCAGAACTAGCTTTGATAGATGAATTGCTAACTGTACATGTACTTGTAATGACTTGTAATGATAGGAGTTCTAGAAGAAGCAAAGTTTTTTGGGCTTTCTGGAATGATTGAAGATCTTGAGGAAATTATCAAGGTAACTGCATTTAATGTAGTGGTGTTTGATAACTTCAATGATCTTATAATAATTAAATAACCCTGAAATGATTGTTTATTTTTTGTATTTATTCATGTAGTAATCGATGAGGATAAATGATATTTTGTTATTCTTTAAATATTTTTTTTAGTCTATAGAGAAAGCAGATGGTGACGCCTTGACCAGAAATGAGTTTATAAGAATATTGTTGTCAACTCCCTCTTCTAGAGAGCTCAGGTGTCAGGTAAAATGACTGAAAGTCCAGTTTCCTAAAAATAATGTTTGGCATTGATTGAATGTTCACTGCTAACAGGGAATCAGTCTTCAAGGAGCAAATCTTTCAAACTTGGATTTGCGTCACATCAATTTCAAAATGGCAAATCTAAGTTGTTCAGATCTCACTGGGGCAAACTTGTCTCATTGTTCATTGGAAAATGCAAACCTGTCGGGTGCACAGCTTGATGTAAGTACAAACCACTTCAATCTACCAACTTAATCCCTAACTTTATTTATAAACACCAGAAGCTCAGGGGGCTTGGTACTGAAGGTTGCCCTTATAGGATTTTAGGACAATTTATTTTCATCACTGTTATTTCTTTGCTTCAACAGGGAGCAATTCTTGGCAACACCAGACTTCAGAGAGCAAACTTAGAAGGTGCATCATTAAAAGGATGTAACTTTGAGGACCCTTCAGGGGTACAGGCACATTTAGAAGGTAAAGGACACTTGGCTAAAATAAGTTCCCATTTATCACCATAACCTACTGATACAACATGAGCAGCTGTGTTGTATGGGAATTGGAATCTAGAGCCGCAGGCGAGAGATTGTAATTCCCATACAACACGACTTATAAAACTCCAACACAAATTAACATGAATTACAGTGAGATAAATGACGAAAAATGACAAATAAGGTAACTGCTGAGTTTAGTCCCTATTAAGCATGCGCAATTTACTGCAATGCAGAATTATCCAACTAATTATCCATCCCACATGGAAAGCAAGCCATCTGTTGCATAAGCCAGTTCTGTTATCCATCTTTGATTGCTTCAAAACCTAGTGAAGGTCTATGATGCGATACTAAAACTGAGACCTTTGCTAGTTTTGGGTTGTCGCAATGGTGACAACCGTATTGTAAATCTGATATATCAGATTTACAACGTCAATCACCTGATTAGATGGACAGCTCTTATTGGAGTAATATCTCATGCATTATTTATAAGTTTTGTAATAATATTAATATTGAATTCCTATATAGGTGTAAACCTTAAATCATCAAACTTAGAAGGAAGTCAAATGACAAATGTAATTCTCAGAGTAGCAACATTGAAAGGTGCCAATTTACAAAACTGTAATCTTAGAGGAGCCATTCTTGCTGGTGCAGACCTTGAGGTGAGACACTTTACTTTTTGTATTGAATCAGGCACACTGTTAAAGGCACAACCTGTTGAAATGAGTTGCTGAAATTTGAACATGATTTTTTCAGAATTGCAATTTAAGTGGCTGTGATCTTCAAGATGCCAATTTAAGGGGTGCCAATGTAGTTGGTGCAAAGTTTGCTGAAATCCTAGGTCCACTGCATATGTCACAGTCAGTAGGAGTTTGCCTGGGAAGGACCACCAATAATTCACCAAATTGATGTCTAAATGACCTGGTACATGCTGGCACACAACACAAGGATACAGACCTATAAAGTGCCTTGCATATCTGATGAAAAATGTGGACAAATTGTAATCCTCGTGCATAAGGACAAAAAGAGTATTGGAAGGTTTTTTTACGCAAATTTACAAGAACATTGTACCCATAAAAGCTAAATTCAAAAATAGGATTATCATATGGTGGATGATTGAGTTTTTTGTGATGACATTGAGTGGAAGTACTACCTAGTTCCAATAGACTGAAGAAGACTAACCATGAGTAATGCTCAGGACATTTTGATGTATCATTCTCAGCTCTATTAAGCCTATTATTAATCGTAATTACTTTTTACTCCGAAACTAACACTTCTCACATCTTTAACGACCGACCCCATTTTTCTAATCGTAATCGTAATCGTAAACTTCGTTCTTCGTGTAGTCAAAGGTGTTTTTCATTATAATAATGCCGATCCTGGCACTTTTCGTTATTTACGTAACCGTTGTAACACTTGTCCGTACATTCACATGGAGCACAGGCTCTTTATCAGTGGTTCTTATGTACACCACCCCTCCCCTCCCCTCTATATTTACCGTTATTTTGAAGAGTTTATATGGTGTTATTGAATCGAGAATTTCTCGCTTGAATTTTAATAAATCAAGAACTTAAAAATTAAGTACTTCTTCTTTGCTTGGTGGGGAGAAAGGCACTTAAACTCAAGGAAATCGGCTGAAACTTCGTCAGGGGATTGCACAATACATCAATAACAACAGGTTTGAGTTTTGTTTCGATTTATTAAAATTCAAGCGAGAAATTCTCGATTCAATAACACCATATAAACTTTTCAAAATAACGGTAAATATAGAGGGGAGGGGAGGGGTGGTGTACATAAGAACCACTGATAAAGAGCCTGTGCTCCCTGTGGTACATTGTCTCGCACAATTCCATTGTTGGTCGTAACTCATCACTCAGAATCACTGATCATTTTGAATGCCCCACCTCGTAAAACCAAAGAAATGCGGCTATTTATTTCATTGCTTAAGAGCTTGATTTCCACTACTGCATTTAATAAAATAACATTTACTTTCTGTATATGAGAATGACACCTTCATTGATTTGTAATACCTAGTGATATCTTGTAATATTTCGCTTGTTTTGTAATAACTTACTTTGTCGACTGTTCGACCTCCCGGGAGTCATTAGTGTTCTCTTCCTTATCGACTGTTAATCGAACAGGCACTGCTAGCTAGAACAGCCCTCTCACGAACGGAAGAGGTAGCGACCATTTTAAGTCTGATGGTCTCTTCGTTATCGACTGTTAATCGAACAGTTGCTGCTGGGACATCAGGACARTTCCCTCACGAAATTCACGAAATTATGAAGAGGTATAGCCTCCGAAGCATCCGTTTCCGGTTGTTCGCTAACGCTCAAGGAGGTGGAGCGTTAGCGAACAACATGAAATAGATGCTTTGGAGGCTAGAAGAGGTAGCGACTTTGTTATTAAGCTTAAAGGGACACTGTCAATGGATGACATGCGCGAGTAAACTTGAAAACATTAGGCTAATCATAGTTAATAGAGGGGACTGGAGTCCCCTCTATTAACTATGGGCTAATGTTTTCAAGTTTACGACTACAAGTTGGCGCGACGCATGACAAAAAAGTACTCGTAAACGTAAACAGATCTAGAATATTCCAAAGTGTGTCAAAACATTAATTTACCTCGAAGGTAATACTTTCAAAGTCCGTTAGAGGCGCATGTTACTGCGCATGTCATCCATTGACAGTGTCCCTTTGATATTTCACCCCGACATGCTCCCAGTCTGGCCTTGTAGCTCAGCTGGTAGAGCATCGGTGTACAAATCCGAAGGTCGTGGGTTCGAATCCCAGCGAGGTCGGAAATTAATTTTTCCGAATTTATTTCTAAGGGACTTCTCCCGGAATTGCCTCCTTCTAAGCACTATAACTTTCTTTCATTTCTATATCCMTTTGATAGTGTCCTCGTTGCTTAAGATCTCCTCATCATCAAAATACAATTTATCAACAATCTTAACATTCGGACGAGTGAAGAATGTCAGATTTCCTTTCCGATCGCACACATGGTTCGAAAACTCCATATTTTTTAGATTGCGCTTGCAATCATAGGCGTTCAGAATGTGGTAAAAACAAGAAAACTGTGATTAGAGATAACTGCTGACCTGTTAATCAAAGGCTCGGCCATGTGGCAAGTGAAAGGCATGATGGGATTGTGGTCGACGGGAAGTAGTGGAAAAACGGTTTGCATTTTTCAACTCGTGCGGCCAGAGGCCTGGCACGAGTAATTATACAGAAAATAAACTCCACAAGTAAATTAAGGGTGATATTCATTGGAACTATGCAATGCCTGCTATGCAAAGTAGTGTTTTCGTTCTCTTAGCCGTATTTGATGCATTGCAACAAGTGTAAACGAGAATTACAAAGAAACTACGAAAGTATACAAACTTTATCGATATAACAATTTACGCTGAATATTAATCTTTCGGATTCACTACAGTACTATAATTTTTATTAACAAGAACCCCGAGTTCACGCAGCTATRCGTCTAGTTTTTCATCTGAAGTAAGTAATGAAAATCATTTCTTTTCTCTTTAGTGAAGTAGAGGAGCGGTTTGCTATATTATTTGAGTTGACATTACTGATCTATAAAGTGTTAACTTGATAAAACAAAGGAAAAGCTTTATTTTCTCGCAAAAATTACCACAATACTTAACAAGGAGTTCGAACTTTAGTTACCAGGTATACTCGTCTCTTGATGAGTAATAGTAGGTCCTGGTAATAGTAGGTCAAATTCTAAATTTTTGGTTGGTGTTATCTTCCACCTTTTACAAAAACAGAGTTTTCATCAATAAAACCATGGAGCTATTTTTATGCACATAAATTATAATGACCAAACTGTCAACATATATTTTAAAAAGCATAAAGATTTAAATATACATAAAGATATTATTTTTTGTTTCATAAAATGTTCTGACTTGCATGCAGCCAAAACAACAGCCATTGATAATATATAATCAATCAATTTAAAAAATAGAATAATGAGTAAAATAATAATCAAGCAATGTTTAATTAGCGGGCTAGCTGTGCTAGCCAGCTATAGTTTTACCTTTTTTCCTGTCGTGTCGAAGTTTCCAGTCTCTCTCGAACCACAGGAAGCCATATCTATTAGTTTGCAGTCTCTCTCGAACTGAAAATTTTCTCAAGAATCCAAAATGGCGGGTACTTCGCCGATAACAGAGAAAAAAGTACTCAAAAACTATSAACAAGAAATACCAAAAGCTTTCTCGTTGAAGAATTGAACTAGGATTTTGCATTTGTGAAGTTTCAAGCTTGCTAGTTATCAACCTCGTCCCCAGGGCCATCTCGGCCGACTCCTTTTCAAGATGGCGGTCGTCGGGGAGATGACCCTGGCGTTGGCTGGAATCACGTGATCAAAACCTCCAAGATTTTTGGAGGTTTTGATCACGTGGCTTATCTATTMAAAATGGCGCTCGAAACGTGAACTCAACGGTTTCACAAACTGGGATAGCTGTGGTGGGTCGGTATTTGCTTCATGTTTTGATGATTTATTTGAAAAATGTCCTTCCGTCCTGCCGTCATCGGCAGTGTTGACCCCTAGACCGCCTACGGGAGTAGATCCAGTTCATTCTAGAATTCTTGAGGGATCCGCTCACTGCAGAAATCGGCGAGTAGAAGACTTCTATAACATCGAATGCTATCGCTAAATATATCCGTCAAGTTAAATTTCTTACACGAGTAGTTGGCATCTCAAAACCACGCATTGGACAAGAGAGACATAAGAGGACAACTGACAAGAATTCCAAAGAATATCGTTGCTTTTTAATCGACAAAACGTACCTTAATTAAATTTCGGGAATATTTGAATAAAAACAATGAACGCATCGTAACGGTTAAATCAATAACCGATCAAAGACCTAACGGTTATCCGGACATACCGACAGTGTCGAACACATCCCGACCTATAGACGAACATAAACAGCCAATAATGAGTGATATAAGAAAAGGCATTTTGAATAGCCAATCAGAAAGCGGCTTAGTTCAGCGAACGCCAGGGTCATCTCCCCGACGACCGCCATCTTGAAAAGGAGTCGGCCGAGATGGCCCTGGGGACGAGGTTGGCTAGTTATCATTTTAAGACGATTTTGCATCGAAAATAGTCTCGCCTTCCTCACCAGTCCAGCTCGATGATTATTCAGTACAGCTTCAACATGAAATCAGCTCAAATACTGGCTTTTTTTCCACATTTATAGACAGCAAAAGGTATTCTTCTGTTTAATTGACAATGTTTTTATTGTTTAAATTCAAAAAAATTGCTTTAATATCATCGGGTTTTTTTATTAGTTAAAAATGACAAAGTACAAGTTTTGAAATTGAGCTTTGTTTTGCTTCAATTTTTGGATTTCTTTTGTACGAAAGAAAGGCTAATAAAAACAAAATTTAAAGAATGCACTCATGCCATCTAAAATGCATTGCTATGTAAATAATAATAGATGTGATATCGCTAACCAAGAAGTAAAGAGCTTCCATAAATATTTTTACAAAATACATTGCAAATGTAGGACAATCACTATAGCAAAAAGATTATGGTTGATAATTGATATATGATAAGATTATAGCAGACAGTGAAGGTTAACGATAAGAATTGAACTGTAAAGAAAAYTAAGGTATTCGACGGAATATTTTACTTTCATATATAGTTACGTCATAGTCACAATATTCATTGGAGATACAATTTTTTACAATCTTGTATTGTGAATCTTTTGCTAAGCTAGCCCGCATCACGCTTTACAAGCGTCTAGTTGAAAATAGGACAGGCGCGTAGTGTCCTTACGCATATACGCAAGTGCGTACTAGTGGGCAAAATTACTGAAAAATTAATATAAAATTGATTCCTTTTATATGCCCTCGATGTCTCTCAAAACGCTGGAAATCGCATTTCCAAGAGTTGTTATTTCAAAATTGGCGGTCGTTAGACCACTAGATCCAAAATATGTGCCGCGGTCCTGATACGTGCGTTCTAGCAAAAACGTCCACGCTACGCGCCTGTAGGAGTTATCATTATACAACTTTTCAGTAAAATCAGACGTTTTGATTGGTTGGCTTTCGTGTGTTATCAAGGTATAGATACACGGATTACGTCAAAACTAATTGTTTGTTGTATAAAACAGATAGATCTCATTTTTCCGTGCGTGTGTACTCTAATAGATACACAGATGACGTCAAAATGTAGTGAGAACAACAGTCACGTACTTTTTTGTTCTCACTACATTTTGACGT